ACTATTATTGAAGACAGCTGCAAAATCATGTTTTACAGTCGTCAAATACGAATAAATCTGTCTTCTAATAAATTAGTAGTGGAATTGCAGTTTTTGTGCAAATCCTTAATGCAGTTCCTCCTAGATGTGTGTGCAAAGAAATAAATGTATCTATATTTTCTAGAGATTTGTTTCTGTCAATAGCCAGTTCAAAACAGTTCTAAAAGGAAAGCCAGTGGCTGATTTGACCATAAAATTTGGGAATACTTATTTTCCATAATTTAATATGTTCTGTTTTATTACTTATTAGTGCTTGTGCTGATAATGAGAATTAGATGGTTATATATCATTAAGAGTACGATTTGTTTGATAATTAAATCCACTTTTTCACTGTAAATTTCCATAACACAATCTGTTTGAAATATTCTTCTGTAGTTTCTATCTCTTCATCTAGTTCTTTGATTTCAAAACATGTTCGATTTCAGTCTTTTTTATCAAATTTGTATCAACAAAATACTTGGCTAGCTCCGATTTTCTTTTAACCCGTGAGCGGATGCGCTCATTTGAGTTGCACGAGCACCCTGTTCAGGATTTTTGAAGAAGAAAATGTAAATCTTCAGAAAAAGTGCTATATCTGTGCCAATAGTAAATTTTAGGATCAAGCTTAAAAAATATGCACATTTAAATTTTTAATTTCTGCAAATGCTTTTATGAAATAAAATTTCTTAAAGGAATAGAATTTTGTATTATACATTAGCATAGGAAAAAATGTACTGTATCTATGTGTCATATTTTTATTTCCTTTATTATCTCTGTCATTTACTCTGTATCGATTTGTTATCTTCTTTATTAGTACTATAGACGTTGAGAAAAAATGCAACAACAAATGTTAGCAATACTTTGTACAGTGTCGTGTGTTCCACATACAAATATTTTTCACATTCTGTGCAGCGCGTTTTCGTTTTTGTGTGCTTTTTCACTGGGCAAAGTCTTCATTTTTTTCATCGTTACTGATAATTTTTTTTCAATGAAGCAATTTTTGTCATTCTAACTTTCGTTTTTAGAATCTATATTAGTTTCTGACAATCATTATCACACGAACTTAACATTCATGATCACTTCCATCTCCTCATTTTCTTCAATATATTCTATGCTAGTTGATGGATTGAAGAACCTTTGCAACATTTCTTCCTTGTAAGATAAATTATATGACGTTTTATACTATCACAAATAAACTAAGTAATGTAGCACTGAAGTTAATTAGTGACCGATTTGTCTGGCCCAGAATGAAAAAGGATGTCATGAACTTCGCTAAAACTTGCCTACAATGTCAAAAGGCTTAAGTTAAAGTGTCTTGTCATGTACACTCTCCTTTAACTACTTTTATAGTTCCAGATGAACGTTTTTCTCATATCAATATAAATTTGATTGGACTTCTTCCATCATCCCAAGGGAATAGCTTACTGTCTGACATGCATCGACAGGTATACTTGCTGGCCTGAAGCATATCCATTGAAAGATGCACGGGCAGAGACCATCGCCACTGCTCTTTATGATTCTCAAGATTCGGTGTGCCTGCTCAGATCACCACTGATTGTGGTAGTCAGTTTTGCAGTGAACTCTTTCGAGAACTAGTGCAAGAACTTTGGTATTCACCTTTCTCACACCACCACATTATCACCCACAAGCCGACGGTATCATTGAAAGGTGGCATAAATCCCTCAAACAATCCCTAATGTGTCACACATCTGTACACTGGACTATCGCATTGCCTTCAGTTCTTTTGGGACTTCGGACTGCTTTCAAAGGGGAACAACTGCTCTCCAGCCGAACTAGTATATGGCCAAACTTTGCATCTTCCGGAACAATTTCTTATGCCTCCTGACAACAAAATTCCGAGGAGTGACTTCCTAAAAAAATTGAATGATAATCTAGAACATCTTTGCCTGACTGTTACTACCAATCACTCTAAAAAACAGATCTTTGTGTATAAACACTTAGATTAATGTTCTCATGTTTTTCTACCTGTAGACACGGTAAAACCCTCCTTGCATACATCTTACATGGGTTCATACAAAGTACTTCGGCGTGGTGATAAAACTTTTACCATATCTAAACAAGGACATGATATCGTTGTGTCTATCGACAGAGTAAAACCTGCTTATTTAGTCCCAGATGATGTATCTGAACCTCCTAATTTAACTGATGTGGATAAGGCCTCATCGCAGCAACTAACCTATTGAATAAACGAACAGCCACCTGAAAAAAGTCCTTCTGTGAGAGCAAATTATCAAACTCGTTCAGAACGTCGCGTCCACTTCCCCAAACGATTTCTGGAAGACTAATTTTTTCCCTCTCTTTTTCAGATTTTTAGCAGATTTTCTTTTTCCAGGAAGGGAGATGATGTGGGGTTACCTCCCCCCCCAACATTTCTTCGGCACTCCGAGTTCTCTTCACGCATGCGCGATAAGAATATCATCTCTGCGCGGCTGCAAAAGAGAACTTCTTTTTTACAAGTTCATGTACGCATTTTACTCATTGTAAGTGGCAACATGGTTTGCTGAACCAGTAAGCACGAGCAGGAATTCAGTGTATCTAAGATGAAAGTTTGGTGCAGAATTATTTAATTTTAGTTCATATCTCCCTCTATTGGTTAATAAGTTCTGAATCCTAAATTTGAAATCATTATTGATTGAAGCATTATACAGTACAGTTAGACAATCATTACAATACAGAACAGTCCAGTATTGAATCAGTACTGTACAGTAGCCTGATGTCCAGTATCCAGAAGGGTATAATGTCCAGACATCTGGACCACCAGGCAGGGGAAAAAATTAAAGCAATTTGTTTTTAAATTAAGTTGTTTTTTAAAATATCCCATGCAAAGTCTAGGAATAGAGAATAGAATCCTCAAGAAAAAGCAGGTATGCCATTAAAGTAATTTTTCTCCCGACAAATTCCTGTATGCCACTTTCAAATGCCTGCTTTGTGAGGGAATCAAACTGTAGCCTAATGATTTTTGTTCACCACAACCATACCTTTGACCCCCTACAATAAGTGAAACCTCAAGATATATTTATTTAGAGGGAGATGTTACCAAATCTAGTTTTCTTTTGTTGGAATAGCCATGAGGAAGGAAGAAAGAATTAAGATTCAGAGAAATTCAATTAACGTAAGAAATTGCACTGTTCATGAATTTCATAACTGAAGCTGCTTTTTATTTTGTTCTAACTATTATTGGTAATTATATTAAAATTATGGTTTTAGTAAATGATGTCTATTTACTCTTCCCCCAAAACTGTACATCCATCAATCAGCCAATGGATATCAAAATTTTGTGCATACAGGTTTGTAATGGAGTGAATGCACGCAGAACCAAAGATAGTTTGATAAAGTTTGTTTTCGCAAATGAAACACTTTACGATTCTGGAACTTTTCATAAAAGTATTCATACAGCTGTTCTCAGTATGACAGCATAATCAGTAGTTACTACTTCAAACTACTAAGAATGTTCAACACAAGACAGTGTAGGATGCCTGAAATGCGTAAATTAATCCAATGATCTGAGCTCTCTGAGCCAATGATCCAAATTATTCTGAGCTAAAGTCTGAACTAAACTGAGAATTGGTGCTCTGTCCAGTCTTACGAAGTTTTTTCGTGTTCACCAAGAAATTTCCAGTATCTTGGATTTCTTGAAATTTCTGGAGGGTGTACACAGTTGCATAGGGATCGGACCAGCTAGGTATACAAGGATCAGACTGAAATGTTGCCAGATGGTTGCCAAGTTTGGTGACTGAGATTTCTCACCAAATTTAGTGACAACAATAGTCGCCAAAACCATCACTAGCTTGGATGCACTTGTCTCTGTAATCTTATTTTTCTGGCAATGATTTGCATATCATGTCTTTCATGTTATTTGATACAAGAGATACTACAATTTACACATAATAATTTCATTAAACTCATTTACACATATGCAAAATTTATTACCATATAAAGTAGCTTTTCAAAAGACCTGCAGTAAGACCGTCCAAGAATTCTAGAAATATTTTATCATAAGGTCTTGGAGTAATTAATAGCTGAATTACCAAATTTCATGATGAGGAAAATCATGACTCTGAAGGTTTTTGTGTATCACAGGTAAAAATCCAAAATTTCTGATTAAAGGACTATGAGAAGAAACCCTAGATGATAATTATATAACAAGTCTAGAAGTGTGTTACCAATGCCTTAATCATCAATCAGTGAACAGAATGACTAATATCTGTAGTGTGGTTTTAAATCCAGAAAATCTCATTATTTTGGGTTTGCAAACACATTTTAATTCCACCAAGATTAAAATGCAACTGTGATGATTCATAGAAAGTCTTTATGCATGCAGAATTTCTCTACCTTAAATATTAATAAAGAATATTTTTAATTTTGTAATTTCTACATGTCATCTTACTAGATTTAATCCGATGATCTAAAAATTCAGAAATTTTTGGAATCTTCGGAACTTCAATGATTCCAGAGGTTAAACTTTGTACCGTATAAGCATCTGCATCATAAAAGAATCATATGGTACAGATGAATTTTGAAATGATGCAGTTAAGAGTGATTTACTATAAGCACATGTTATTTTGGGGATGGAAAGGGAAAATAACCAAATTAAATCAAGAGCTGTTGCTAATTAAAGTCAATATTTTAGCTTTCTTTTTTATCTTGCACATATTTATATTCTCATTTTGCTCCTTATTTTTAATGCATTTTCTCGGACAAAGGTTGAACAACTTTGAACTCTCATCATATTTATAAATAGAAACTTTTATTTATCTGCTATGAAAGTTGATAATTTATCATTCAGATCTGCATTCTTCAAATAGAGTATGTTGTGTTATTTATTATCAATATGTTTGTATTATTCTTATTTCAAAACAAACTTAAATTCCTTTAAAATCAAATTTGTTATGTGTGATGACAACAATTATAGATTTATACGTATGTGTAATGAAGACAAGATGCAATTTTTCTCCTTCTAGCTTCTTGAAGGGAGACCTCTAAAGAAATCTAGCTCATGTTCCACTATATATTTAGATGATAGTACAGTGAGTCAACCTAACTTGAAAAACACTATTAAATGTGTTACATTAGCAATATATTATCATATTCGGAACCGGACTTCCAATCGAACTTTAGATATATTTGATGAGAAGCTTCACCCATTATCCGTAAGTACTTTTAGCTGAATAAAATTGTGTGATTGTGATGTTACATTTATCTGTACCATTGTAAATTGACTATTTTCATACGTATACTTAGGCTCAGCATTTGTACACATTTTCTTCACTTAATGAAAGGAGATATTATTATCAAACCTTCAGTAAGCTGAAATGGCATTCAAGTGAAGAAGCATTAATGATGGGTGGAAAAATTCTTCCTGCATTTCATGGGAATGACTTACTAAATCATGCCAAGTAGCTCAGGAAATCTAAAAGAACTTAAAAGTACATTGAAATAAGTACACAGCCCAAGTAAATAGAGGTAATGCATGTTGTGAAGTGGCACTGTGGAATGCTTAGAGGTGTAGTAGTATTAATGATCATTAAGCTATCACTGAATTAGGTAGTGGGGGGATACATACATTGGAATATTGCACAGACAATAAATCATTATTATTTATATATATTACATCATGATATCTGTAGTTGCTGTGTCTACATCTGCAAGTTTAGCATCTGTCTTAATGTGGAAACTCAAGTTTTATCTTCTGATCTGGCATGAAATAAGACAATATTCTTGATTGTTTACTGACCCTAAATTTTAAATTAGGGGCTGTAAACTGCAATTGACCTAATGTGTTGCAATTTGTATAGATAACTGAAACATTGTGGAATATTTTGACTTCCATCATTGTTTGCTATTAAAATCATATATATCTTTAGTTATTTGCATAAAATAAATCTGAATGACACTTTTGCTTTTTTCATAAAAACAAAAAGCATCTTCAGATTTCTTTTATAAATTGAAAATTTTATCTTTTGTGAAAGCAAGGTGTGATTACAAAAACTTTGTGAAGCTGATACCTCTTGTGTACCCTTTTCTCAAGATGTCTGACTAAGAAAGAAGTCAGTATAAACATGAGTGTGATCATATCTTGTCTCAAATTATTAGAGACTTTATTTTGCCCTTAAACTAATAGAAAAAGTGGTCGCAGTAGTTAACTCTCTTACTGACTATTATTATTTTGACTTAAATTTTTTTTTTTTCTTTTTATTTTAAAATCAGTCTGTTGTCAGATTTGTTCATTTATATCCCACTCTGTGTAGTTTGCTTATTTTTTTGTTTATTCCTTTAGGGGCATTTGAATTTTGTCTTTCAAAACTAGCTATAGTTAGATATTGAGAACGTTTAGTGCACTTAAAAGTTAGCAGGAGAAATCTATTTTTAAGTTTCGTGAGCTTCGAGTCTTTCAGGAAACTACTGTTAGTTGATGATGCAAAGAATTTTATCTAATTGTAGTGAAGATGACTTTATTAAATGATTATTAATTTTGAAAAATAAAATCACTGAATGTCAATAACATTGCTTCTTTTTTCACAAAATTTCCTTATATAGCAGTGATTATTGCAAGATAGTATAGTTACTGATCATAAAATTTTTTTGAAAATATTTTGGCATAAAGCAATAAATGAATAAACTTAGAATCACCTGAATCCTAGTAAATTATTCTTACAGGAATATGTATGTTCCCAAAAGAAGAGTTTTTTTACCTCTTAGTATTGTTTCTGTTATGAATGTCCGGAATTAAGCTAATTTTATTACCTAACGTATGAAATAGTTTTGAAAGAATATTCAAATAAGGAAACTTTTCTTCTCTAAAATAGTCGTTTTTGAATGCTTGTACAGTTGAATGTCTATTAAGCAGTTTGTCTTAGATTTTATACTCATGGCCATTATTTAAGAAAATCTGAGCTATACATTTTAGCGAAAATGTATCGAGTTTAAAACTTTTGATTAATCCTTCAGGGTTATAAAAAAAAGGAAAATGATTACTATCCAAACTAGTTAAAAAATGCATCATCAAGATTGTCTGAAATATTAATTAATTAATAAATGAATGTAATGGAATAAATGAAGTCTTTAACAATATACAGTCAAAAGTCGTTAATCCGGACTCGTCGGGACTTCGGCGATTCCGGATTATCAATTTTTCCGGATTATAGATCATCAGTTTAAATCTGGTAAAATGGCATGCAGAAATTATAAAATTAAAAATATGAAACCTTATTTTACGAAATAAAGAACAATTATGATCTAAAGGGTATCAAAATTTACAAAAAAAAAGCTTAATATTATTTGTTTACTTTATTAAACATTTCTTTCAATGTAAGTTGTTTAAGTTGCTTCGTTTTTTATGTGATAATACATTCTCTTTAATTCTATAATAACAGACATAATTTCTTGCGTTACAAAGTTCCGCTGTTCAAGTCCTATAATTGCTGTGTCGAGAATACCGACTAATTTGTCAATCAAAATTTTTTCGTTTCCAATAACCTCTGTCGCTTTCTTCACTATCGGAAGCGAATTATAATGACGAAGCATTTGATTTAAATCATATCAAAGACGGAGTACATCGAGATGAAATACTACATTTAGTAAGGAATTATAAGCCAAATAAAATAAAAGCATCTGCCCTGAAGATAAGGATAGTGCTGACAGATCAACTTCCAATTCATTTTGTGCCGTGGCGTTAAAGATAAACACAGTTTAGATAAACAAAGGATATGCCTTTATCCATTTTTTGCAGCAATTCCACTTTTCGTTTAATGAACTCCGAAACATACTTTCGCTTTGTAGATCCTTTACATATTAGTAAATATATATCGGAAATTCTATTTGACATAATCAAAATTTCAAGCTTACTTTTATAAAATTGCTCTAACAGTCTGCAAAAAATAATAAGCCGGATCCAATTTGAAGATTAAGGAACAACGCAATCTGCAACATTAACTGAAATAGATAATTAGATAATTTTAGCTTAGCTTATACCGTCCGTTATACATTAAATGCGCATTCGTAAACGTATTTTTCGCACACGCAAATTTGCAGGCGTAAAGGTCTTACGCGCATGCGTCTACGAGACGCATGCGCAGAAAGTTTGTAGCTTTGAGGTCCGCATTATGGGTGTCTGAATTAACGACTTTTGACTGTATATGTAAAATATAAATAAAATATGGTAGCTATGCATCCAAATAATTAGCATCTTCAAAATTGACTATTCTAAATTTGGTGTTCTTCCCCCTAAGTTCATCTGTTCTTCCAAATTCAAGATCTTTCCACTTTCATAACAACTTAAAGTTAACCAATGGCAGCTTAGTTATACTTATGAACCTACTTAGTATAAATATTGCTTTGCAAGCAAATACATCATTCCTTTTCTTAGCTTCTGCCCTGCTGACATCTGCACACTGTTTATGGTTCACTGTCTAAGATACCTATGCCATACTTTTAAAACCAGCGTACATAAAAATTATCGTATTTAACTATGATTGGATGAATGTCTACCAAAATAATTTGATATGTGTGACAATAAAGATTGGCGATTCATCAAAATCCAATTTTTGTTAGTTCCGTTTGTATGCCTTCACTCTCAGCCATGATGGCTATCGAAAGTTAAAAGTACCAGTGTCTTCTACCCATTTAAAATATCACACACACACATAGAATATTTGTGAATTTGAAAACTATAAAGATATATTTCTGAAAACAGCTATGTATGGTAAGTTTTCTTATGTTGATTTCTGTATTGTAATTTTTATGCAACTAAGGAGTTGTTATAAAAGCATGGGCTAGTAGAGCTGGAATTCAAAATTTTGTAGCAAATGAAATTTAATTTTTTATTATGTCTAATTTCAACATTTTAGGTTTATATTTCACAGGGTGAAAAGGATTTAAGTTATGTAATTTTGAGAATTCAGTTTTTCCTGGGCTAGTTCTTCATGTTTTAGAGCAGTTTTTTGTGGAAAGAATTTTAGCTGGATGATTTAACAATTTGAATATTCTTTCTAAAAGACTTGAACCAAACTTTTAAATGAAAAGTTTTTGTTGAAAATGTGTCAGATGATCAAAACTGTCATAGTCTGAAAGTTTACTTAATTTGATTGATTTTATACATTTTGTAATTCTGGAGTTTCAGAAATAAATTGTGTGAATTCTTTAGTGAAAATGAATTTGCGATATGGATACATTTTACTGACTTTTCTCATTTTAAATGTTTAAAATTTGTCTTGCTATAATTCTGCTAATTTTTTTATTCATGTGATTCTATCATGTAAAGGTATCATAATGAGGTATATTTAATTTTTTGCAGAAAGACAAAGTTCTCGAAGATTATGATCAGAAAGATCCAGACCATCGCAGTATATATAGGTTTGTGCGTACATTATTTAATGCTGCCCAATTAACCGCTGAATGTGCCATAATTACACTTGTAAGTATGAAATGGGAAAACAATAGTTTTGTTTATTTGTATTTTAATACTTTAAATATAGATTTTTTAATTTAAAAAAATTCAATTTTAGAAACACATTCGATGACAAATTGTTCCTTATGTTTTCATATAGAATGCATGATGAGAATTCAGAAAGCGAATTAATTGTTACCATCACCTGGTAGAATTATGTAACAGGAGCCAAGAATAAAGCTTGTGTTGGAACAGTTACATTAGAATTAAACTGCAACCAATTCTTAAAATATGATATGGATAGTGTTAAGGTTCCCTTTCATAATGTTAAGTTGGAAATATGAAAGTTGTTCTCTCAAGTAATTTGTAATTTGATGTGGAAGCAGTATTGAAAATTAATGCAACAAAACATTCAAAGCAAAGATCACTTTTCAGTGGGCACTCACAAACACTGGAGCTGTTATGTGTTATGTATTTTGATTATTTGAAAGTTGACTCGCTTTCTTGTCGAAGCAATTTCTAGTAGTGGTTAGAATATTATCACAGGTGAACACTCTTTCAGGTGAACAACAATTTCAGACATTTTTTCTGCTCTGTATCATTAAAAAGATGCACGATTTTTCCCTACCTTCTGAAAGAAGTTTTATATCATACTTTTTCACCTAATCAGCATTGAATGTAGGAACTTGAATGGGAGTTTGTAGTTGGTACTCTCTGTATTTGTAATGTAGATCCACTTTCCCCTTTATTTGGTAAGCTGAAAGCAATCTGTGATGGTGGCTGTTTTATATCATGTTATAGAAAAAATACTAAACATTTGTTCTGCCAAAGTGTTTTTAATGTTGGATATGGCTCTAAGAACTGTGTTGTACCACTCTAGCAAAATGCATGTTAACTGGAAACTTATTTCAATGTTAGAGTTTAAAAAGCCATCATATAACAGCTCAATTTCCCCCCCCCAGTGGCCAGATACTTTATTAATACTGTGTTAAGCACTAATCAGGAAGTGCTGAATCCATTGTTGATTTAGCCATCTTAATGCTGAGAATGTTACCCAAGAGTGACCAAATTACACCTGCAAGCAAGAAGTTTGGTGCAGTTTTGATAAAGAATCCTGTGAGGGGCAAATCTAAAGCCTATCCTTTTCCTATCACGGATCTGTTGAGGTAACTTTTGGCTCAACACTATTTTAAGTACCTCTCTGCTGTAAAGACAATGTTTATATATGAATACCCATGTCTTTGCCATAATTTAAATTCAAATCCAGTGCTTTGGCAACTGACTTTCCAGCAGAGTGGCAGGAGCAAAATATCTTAACAGTTTAATATTCAGTGTGAAATTCTGAAGTATCATAAAACATTGTCACTTCCAATCATACTTTAATGAGTACAGCTGTGTAGAAATGACATTTGCTAATCAACAAGCTTAGGAATTAATGTATGGGTGAAAGCAAGTTGCCAGTGGAGATTGGTTATAAAAATGCTGTTACATGATTGCTTCATGATTAAGGGGCAAATTTCTGTTGGCAGAAAATTATTAATTAAATATTCAGACAAATGTATGCAGAGAGAGAGAGAGAGAGTAAAAAAGTGTATATTATTTACCTGCCTTACTGTAATTCAGTACACCACTCAATAAAATGTTTTTAACATACAATAATGAAATTTAATTTGCTTTTTTTGTGGATTCTTACATGTGTACATGCGTGATTATTTGTTTTCCATAATGCAAAGTATATTGTGAAGACTTTCCAAGACAGCCACCCATAGTTCCGGATGATTATTTCTCAAATTATTTCTCAAAACTGTGCTTTTTAAGTGACTCTGGAGAAAGTGGTTTGCTGTCTTGTTTCTCAAGTGTTCCTCTCTTGGCTAGTGAGTCTGCCTTTTCATTACCGTCAATACCTACATGTGAAGGGATCCATTAAAAAATGATTGTTGTATTTATAAAGAAAGTCCAGGGTTTGTCTTATTTCTAAAATAATCTGGGTATCTGTGTCATGATTTATAACTGCAGCCAGGATGACTGCTTTGGAATCGACTTAGATACACTGATGCTACTTCAGAGAAACAATAAAATCTTTATCTTGAAGATTTTTCCAGAGCTAGTCAGATTGTAAGGATCTCTGTATCAAAATTCGGCACATGAAGTGTCCTACAGTAGAAACATTGGGGGGAGGGAGGGAAGTTTACTGTATATACTAGTCCCAGTATTGTCTTATATTTTAGAGCCATCAGTGTATACTAAGTCCATTTAGGTTCATGGGTATTGTTATGTGACATATATATAATATTTTGCATCAATATGGTATCTGGATTGTTTTTCTTTCCCAAATCATTGATATCTAGCTTGGTATTTGATAATCGATATATTCAAGGGGATTAACCATGACCTTGTTACAATTCACTGGCTTGTTTTAATCTCTTTCTTGTAATAATTTCTCACAAGCCTCTAGGGCAGACATTTGGGTCTTCATGGTACTTAGTTTGCATTTGTTCATCCATTGCACTCTATGGGATGCTTTCATTTTAATGAATGTGCCAACTGCTTGTTTCTTGATTTCTGTAGCAATTGGTTGGTTGGAAGTATAGCTTTACATAGCTGTAATTCGGGTAGTTTTCATCGCTCCTGTGATGATCCGCAAAGCTTTGCTTTTGGCTCTTTCCAAAGAGTCAATCTTCCCTCGTGTGGTCCCTTGTGTGGTAGAGATTAACACCTCACTTCAATATTTGAAAATAGGTTTAATGTAAGTGTTGTAAGTTTTATTTAGGGTAGTCTGCGAGCTTTCCCATTTGATACTGTCTAGTCTTTTCAAAATTGATGAGCTTTTCTGTACTTTTTCTATAACAGTATTCACATGATTAGTAAAGTTTAATTTATTGTCTAGCACTACATGTAGATATGTGGTATTAAGAGTTTTTTTGAAGAGTAACATTGTCTATTTTTAATTCAATGTCTATTCATGTGTCTCAGAGAGAAGAACTGGTGAACTGCTTTGTTTTCATTTATAATCATATTGTTCTCTTTCTCTCTGTCTGCAGGACTTCAAGTGCATTATTCATTACAACTCCGAGTTTTTTCCTTTGGTTTTTGTATTTTCTGGAATTTTCTGCTTCTGCCCAAATAACAACATCATCTGCAAACATACAAATATTAATACCTTTAATGCTTTTTAACTTGATTACAAATCATTTATATAAATGTTAAAGAGGATGCAGCTACTAACTGCCCCTTGAGGTAAACCTAATTTACTTTGTAATTCGATTCCTGTTCGTTCCATCTGGTCTTCGCCCATCTTGGGGATAAAAACTCTTTGTAGCAGTTTTACATTTTCAGCCAATTCCATAAACATGTTTAGAAGTCTTCTTATACATATTGTGTCGTAGACTCTCTGGAAATCAAGAAATACAGCCAAAGAGCTTCTCCCTGAATTGAAACCAGTTTTTATTTTATGAACCAACTTCAAAATTGAATTAGTAGTTGACATGTCTTATCTAAAACCAATCTGTTCTGCTACAATCTCATTTGGTAAAACCTTAGTCTGGCAGTTATCATTCTTTCAAATGTCTTGACTAAATGGATGTCAGTGAGATTGGTCGGTATGATTCTATATCTTTATGTGGTTTTCCTGGCTTTAGAATTGGAATGACCTTCAGCCAGTTCACTGGAAGATTTAGTTTTGCATTCCAGAACTTATTGTGATTCATTAAAAGGAAATTCATTGAAGATTGTTCCAAATGTGTTATGAATTCTGGGAATGTATTATCTGCTCCTAGTTGTTTATCATTTTGAATGTCTTTGATAGCCTTATTCAATTCCTGCATTGAGAAATCCTGTGTAAACAGTTTGTCTAAGTTCACTATCCTTGATTTAGTTCTTCCTTCATTCGTGTTTTTGGCATTTCTTTTCCTGCCTCTTTTGCTCTTTACCAAGTGAGTGCCATTCAATATAGTAGTTATTGAATATTTTAGCAATCTGTCTTGGATCGCTGACATCTTTGTTTCCTTTTTGGTGTGGTGATTAGTTCTTTGTGTTATTTTGTTATTCAATGTATTCATTATTTTGTAAGCGTTATTTCTATCAGTTTTGTAATCTAATTCATTAAACCTATTCCAGGATTGGCTTCTAGAACTTTCCTTTCATTGCGGCACATTCCTTTCATCATTTGATTACATCTTGTTTGCATTTTTATTAGTTTTTCCTGCCACTCTTTCAGCTTCCTTTCTTGCTTGCTGTCTAATTTCTCTTTGCTCATCTAGATCATTGTTCCAAAATGGTTGATAGTTCGGCTTCTTTTTCGCACACTTTTGGGGGGAAGGGCTGAGGTAAAAGCTCATTCTTCTTGGTGAAGCATCATTTGGAAGGCTGTTTACTTGATGCTCTATATCATCTGTGAATGCCTTCCATCTGGCCTTTTTGAAGTTCCACATAATTCTTGCATTATTTCTTACATGTTTTTGGTTGGTAGTAATTGTTGTTTTTACCATTCAGTGACCACTTCCTGGGTCCCAATTAGCATTTTCTTGTAATAGTCAAACAGGCTTGCTAAAACTATGGTTAAATCAGAGCTAGTAGAACTGCCTGAAAAGTGGAAGAAGGTGTTATCTTTATCATATATAACTAACATTGTGTTACTATCTATAAAGTCCTCAACAATTTGCCCTATTTGGTTTTGATAGGTGTATCCCCAGTTAGGGGAAACACCATTAAAATCCCCTACAATTACAGTATTTTGATGAGGTGTTAAAATGTCTAAATTTAAGTTTTTGTTGTTTCCATGGTTGAATCCACTGTGAAACATTTTGCATTATATAATTATTAGGTAATATAATTTGCAGTATGTTATGGTAATGTCACTACTTTAAAGAATAAGGAAGTTTGTGCAAAAGTAAAGTATTAAAAAAAAATACCTTTTGTTTCTTATTTAAGTAAAGAAATTGAATGTTTGTTCAATACTTTATTTAGGCAATTTTGTGTTTTCAAATGAATTTGCAGTTTGGGAAGGCATGTTTGTCACAGTGTAACCT